CAAGCATAAAATTGCCCGTCGGCGCTTTTGAAGTTATAAAGTTTTGGTGATTAGAAATTGCTAGTTATGATTATATTCGTTTTTAGAATTGAACCTTATACCTTGTGAAATTCCATAGAATTCTACAACGTTAGAATGCTTAGTTGCATAAAGAAGTTTAAGCTATAATATATTCAATTAAAATGGTAATTAGCAATTTAGTGAGATACGAAAATCAAGTAAGAATGATAGATTACTTCACGTTGTAATTGGTTAAATTCTCTTTCGTCTAAACCCAAATTATTGTCTAGGCTTTTTAATGCATACACTTCTTCTTGGAAAGTAGCTGAATACACAGTTGCATATGCTCCCTTTCCGATGGTTTTGATATTTTGAAATTGTGAATAATCATAATTTTTTATAGCGTATTTGTTCAAATACGACTTTAATTGCTCCGAATATTCAATTACTAATATCATGTGAATTAGTATATATTGCATAAATCAAATTATATTAACCTGAAAACTTACATGTTTTCTCTGACATGACTTTTGGTTAATGGATATTATTGTATTTATTAAACTTGCAAAATGAATAATCTTTAGTTAATTTTAAGAACAACGAATTCCGGAGAGGATAAAAAATATTGTATTATTTAATCATAAGCTTAGAAGAACAGTTAAATGAATCCGTTAAAAATGGATAAATAAGTTATATATAAGGAAGAGTACATCTTCAAATAGAAAGTAGTATAATGTTAAGTACAACTAGTTCCGAAGAGGATAAACAAATACTGTATTATTTAATAATAAGCTTAGAAGAATATTTGAATGAATCTGTTAAAAATGGATAAATAAGCTATTTATAAGGAAGAATGTATCTTCAAATAGAAAATAGGAAACACAAATATTTTGAGTAAAGAAATTTATTTCTTGAAATATATTTACTGACGTACAATCAATCTTGTTACATTTTTACAGATAAGTGGAATACGTAATAAAAAAAGATTTAGAAAATTGCAAATATATTTTTGTAGATAAAATTCAATGTCAGTTTTTAATAGAAGCATTTTATTATTTAGTTTATACAAACCTAAAGGCTTGCTTTTTGCCAAAGGTGAATCTGCAGGAGACATTCATTTCCGGGATCAACGTTACACGATTATTTATATAGGATGGTAGTATAAAACCAAAATTTTTGGACTTAAATCAATCATATAATACTTTACTAATCAAAAAAACTTTCTAGTTAACATCTTGTTAAGAAAATCAATTTGAATCAATGCTTGATTCAAAGCAAGATAGTTTGATGATTTTAGAAAGCATTATAAAACATAAACTTTCAAGAAATTTGGTATATATTTATTATTATATTGTTTTAAAATTTTTATTCATGATACTAAAATATTTTTAAAATATTGGAGAAAGTTAGAATACAATGAAAAATTTTCATAATCAGAGCCTGAAGAAGAAACATCAAGTTTTAAAAAAAATGAAACTTCAAAAGATTTTGAAAAAATATAATTTTAATTTTGTAATATTAGTAATTATTTTAATATATTTTAAAATTTTCAAAAATATGTATATTATTTTAAATTATTTTGAATATTCACAAATTTTGTTGAATGTATGAAAATTTAATTTTATAAATAATAAAATTTGTTCTAATTCTTAAATATGTATGCATTTTTGTAAGTTTTTTTAATATATTTTAATAAACAGTTTATATAATATAATTTTTGTGATATTATAAATGAATCACAAAAAATTTGAATAATTTTGTTTAATATATTTGTTTTTTTAATATAATAAAAAATATTTTTAATCAATTATTAATATTAATTTATTAAATATATTTATTATTTTTTTTATTAAATATATCTAGAATTTTTAGACAAGTTGCAATAAACAAATATATATTTCACAAAATTCTAAAATAGTTTGTATTATTTTACAATACTTTATTTATTACTAATGTTAATTGCTATTAACAAATTTTATTAGTTAAGAAAAAGGCTAAAAGAAGATAATACTTAAATTACTATTTATGAATAGTAAAATTTGCAATATATTAAAAATATTTCTATAATTCTTAAAATGAATTAAAAAATTTTATGTATATTTGCTTATTTCAAGATACTAAAGATAAATTGTAATACTTTTTTGTTCTTGTTTTTTTTTTAATTTTCAGATAATCTTTCTTTTTTTATCTAAATTAGAGTAAATTAAAAAATAAAAATTTAATATTTAATTAAAACTGTTTTATTTTTTGTTTTATTTACTAATACATTTTTTATTAAGTATTACAGATTATTTAAAACTTTTTGAAAATTTTTAATATTTTTATTTTTTATAAATTTTTTATTAAAAATATTTCTTCTCTTTTTATCTTTACTTATTATTTTATTTGTATTTGATGTATTAAATTAATTAAATAAAGCTAATACAAAATAAAAATAATTAAATTTTCTTAGTAAATAATAAAATAAAAAAAAAATAAATAAAATATTTATTAAAATAAATAAAAATAGTGATAATTTTAAAACATTTCAATAATATAAAATAAATTTATCAATATAAAATTATTTTAAAAATATTAAAAATATTTTAAAATTATTTCAAATTTATTGAATTATTTTGAAATATTTTAAAATATTCTAATTATTTCAAATAATTTTTGAATAATTTTTTAATTTTTTAGGTTTATTTATTTTTAAAATATTGCAAAATAACCAAAATTCTTTTAAAATAATTTTATTTATTTTGTAATATTGCAAAATTATTTTAAATTATTTTTTGGTATTAAGATAACCTATTAGTTTTTTGACTTTTATTAATGACTTATTGGCAATGTGATTTAATGAACCACTATAGAAAAAAGTATAATTGACTATATGTATAACTTTCTATATTACTTATTTAAGGAGTTGGTTCAAAGATTTCTTACTAAGTGTCATATCTAACACTTCTGCTTGGGTATTTTACTTTAAACTCTCTAAACCTGTAACTTATATTAACTCACTAGTTATACCCAGATGCCTACATTATTGTCTCAACCTTAGGACTATTTTATCCTCAAGGTAAACCCTCTAGAGCCTTTTGTACTTATTTTTACAGTTGACCTAGGTATCACTATAGCAGAATTAACACTTGCAGTTAGGGTTTAACCATTAAACTGCTATGTTCTTATAGAGTTCACTCAAACCTTAGCATCTATTTCATAGCATAACTTTGGTACTTTA